ACAATACAGAGCGTGGTTTGCTGCAAGTCATGGGCCAAAATATGTGGAATTGGTGGAGTCCAAGTGAGGTGTGGAGAAGGTCAAGATTCCCCATTCAATAGTCGGGAAACCAGCAATCTTTGCTCCTAGGTAGTAAAGAAGCTAAAATACCACTTGTATTTTAGAACTTGGCAACCGTATACCCACTGAGTTGCAGTTGTAAGGATCTTAGTAAAGCTAAAAGTGAAAATAGTAGAATGTTTTGGCTACCTGTCGTGGCCTTCAGTAAGTTCCTGCAAGAAAGGGACAAGCTAGTCCCAGCTAGCACATCTGAGAGAAAAACAAGAAAATCCAGTCTCAGTAGCAGATGACTTTAATGCTTACTAACCGGTAGTAATGCCTAGAAGTCTGATAATAATATGCTTTGCCAGATTGTGAAAGTTGAATTCTGTCCAGGGATAAAATTACTATTAATAAGGACAGGCCACATAGCAGGAGACTGGAACTGTGCCAGAGCCAGATCCCACAGGACCACCCAACCCTTTCCCCTGAGTCCTGACTGCTGCCTGGCCATTATAGCCTCTGTAGACAAAACATTGTGGGCTGGCACTCTTGTGGAGTCAGACAAGTCCCTACTCCAGAGGGCGCCACTTGCATAGACCATGATGTCTGAAGGCAACTGGGCTCTTTGGACTTCTCCATTCCTGGAGCTAACTGCAGACGGTCCTGAACTTACTATGGTTCGATTCTAGATTCTCAACTTTACAATGATGCGAAAACAATATAGATTCAGTGAAAACCACTTCAGAGTCAGGGGTGGTGGCTTACACATGCAGTCCTGGCACTTTGGGAGATGGAGGTGAAAAGACTGCTTGAGCCCAGGAGTTTGAGACCTGCATCTCTACAGAAAAAATCAAAATTAGTCAGGCGTGGTGATACAAGCCTGTAGTTCTAGCTACTCAGGAGGCTGAGGTGGAAGGATCACCTGTCCAGGAAGTCGAGGCTACAGTGAGCCATGATCATGCCACTGCACTCTAGCCTGGACAAGAGTGAGACCCCGACTCAAAAAAACAAACAAAAACTGTACTTCAAATTTTGATTCAAAAAGAAATTTTTTTTTGAGTTGGAGTCTCACTCTGTTGCCCAGGCTGGTATGCAGTGGCACAATCACGGCTACTATAGCCTCAACTTGCTGGGCTCAGGCGATCCTTCTGCCTCAGCCTTCCAAATATAGCTGGAATCACAGGTGTGCACCACCATTCCCGGCTAATTTATTGTAGAGATGATATGGTCTTGCCAAGTTGCCCAGGCCGGTCTCGAACCCCTGGGCTCAGGCAATCATCTCGCATCTGTCTCCCAAATTGTTGGGATTACAGGTGTGAGACACTGACACCAGCCCAAAATTCTTTTTTTTGTTTTTTTTTTTTTTTGAGTTGGAGTCTCACTCTGTCACCC